CATCTCACAGACATGAGTGTATAAGAGTGTACACAAGGTGTGTACCCCAAGTCTGATCCATGAATAATTGCAAATATGAGGTTAGTGAGTTAAGTCAATACTTATGGTGTTAATTATTATAACAATGATAAGTAAATTCGACAACAAAACGTACAACTCATTTTGGTTCGAAATCAAATAATAGAAATTACTTTAAATAGGAGCATAATTGTAGCAACTTGTTGCCCGTACGTTTGGACCACAAATTTTCATTTACTGTAATATTTTAATTGGTTCATATAAACAAATATAGAATTGCTCTTATTTATAAACAAGTTCAAAAATATGGAGAAATTGTGATCAGGGGCGTAGCTAGGAGAGGGTCAACCCTGGCCCCGGCCCAGCCTAAATTTAAAAAATGTCTGTATTTTTAGTGTAAAAAATTTCATGTAAAATTTTTTTTAAAAAATATTCTTTGCGCCGGCCCAGTCTAATCCAGTGCCTTGGCTTCACCCCTGATTGTGATGTATAATTCTCATTTCCCATCCTTTATTTAGAGTAAAACTCCACTGCCTAATAGCCATCATCACCCGCTGCTACAATGCTGACATCCACCACTGCCACCGCCAAACCTCTGGCCGCTAGTCTCGAAAAGTCGTTGATTGTCGTCGTACCGTCAACCATCGCTGAAAAATGATCGGGCCTCCGGTTGTCGCCAGACAGTCCCATATAGTGGCTGCCGAATGATTATCATTAAGAGAGAATTCCAAATATGGGAGTAAAACATACGAAATATGCTAAAATAGGAGTCTTATGAGTTACGTATGTTTCACACGGAAGTTTTAAAAGAAACTGACCATAATACCCTTAATGAAAGCAAGCCGCATGTTTTTACTTTTTACAACGCATAGAAGTTTTTAACAATTAGTAAAATAGAAGAAATTTTAGAACACACGGTGCACTAGAAATTCTATATTTGATTTCTGCTTCCACTTTCTTCCTTCTTTTGAGATTGCTTTTAGTGATTTTTTTTTTGTTTTTTGTTTGTTTTCTCTTTCAATTTCATTTCATCTTTTGTTCTTTTGACATTTTATTTATATTTTACAATACATATTACAATTGTTTAGATTTGATTTCAATCAATATATTTGTAATTTTGAGATTATTTTTTTGGTTTGAATATGAAATTGTCAAATCGCTATTTTAAAATAATTTTTTATCACTAAGATAAAAAATATTTTTTTTGGGTAAACAAAAATAAATATACTAAGATAAAAAAAATTACTCTACAAATTTTTGGTCTTCAAAATTCTAATGTTGGCAATTTATTTGACTCTTTGATGCATATTGTCATAAATTCTTACTAATACTAATGTCCTATTGCCATATTTAATATGAGCGATAATGCCATTTTAGGAGTATTATTGCCATCTTTAGGAGTATTATTGCCATTTTTAACATGAGTAATACGAAGTAATGGTCATCTTTTGGACATTATTGCTATCCTTGTTATATTGCCATTATACTTAAAATAATGGCAATTTCATATTGCAAAATACAAAATATTGCCATTTTCATACATTTATTGTCATAAACACATGTCATCTTGAAATAACACTATTTATCAAATTGACATTTTTTATTGATAATAGTCAGTAAATAAATTAATGTCAATTTTTAAAATCCATCGAATCAAAATTAATTAAAAAGTAAGACTCAAAATTTCAGACCGATTGTTGGGGCCTTGGAATATCTAATCCCAAATTTCAGATCTAAAATAAGAATTTTCTTTTGAATCTGAAAATTACAAAATAATTTATAGAAATCCAAGAGAAGAAAGGGAAGGAGGAGGAGAAAGAGAAGAAAAAAGGAGAAGGAAAATGAGAAGAAGGAGAAGAAGAAAAGAAGAAGAAAAAGGAGAAATTGATACTTACCTATGCCCATGAATTTTGCCGCCTTCCTTTGTGTCGCCGCCCTCCGCCGCAGCCCTTTTCCATCGGAGAATCTGGAAAAATAAAGTTCAAAAGATGAAATGGATGAAGAAGAGAGATTCATGTTGCTGAGGAAATAAAAAGAAAAAATGTGAGGTTACAGGGATATAGTTAAGCGAGAGGAAAAGATAGTGGAGAGAGGAAAGTTGTTATTCAAGATAATATAAAGAAGGGTATAATTGTAAACATAATAAACATGTATCGGCGGAACAACTCACTTAGCTCCTATTTAGGGAATATATCAATTAGGACTCCTATTTTGGAACTTTTCTATTGTTTTAATCCTATTTAGGATAATTTCTTTATCATTAAACAACAAAAGCAATTGGATACTTGTGCCAAGTCCAAAAAGCCTAAGCCGAGTGCGTATACCGTGCAACCTATACGGTGAGCACCGTATACCGGTACGGATTTTTTTTCCCTTTTTTTTAAAAAATGGTAATAACTTTTTTATTTTTGATCCGATTTTTATAAAATTTATATCAACATTTTTTATTTTTCATGATCTTTCAAATGAGACCAATATTGCCTATGTAATTTTAACACATTACCATTTGCGTGTAAAATATGTAACTTTACGTGTTAAAATATGTAACTCACGTTCAGTCAGGTCAAATGCAACTCATGTGTATAAATATGTATCTCTACGTGTAACAATATATAACTTTACGTAAAAAAATATGTAACTCGCGTTCAGACAGGTCAAATGCAACTCGTGTGTATAAATATGTAACTCGCGTGTATAAATATGTAACTCTACGTGTAAAAATATGTAACTTTACGTGTAAATATATATAAGTCGCGTTCAAGCATATCAAATGCAACTCGTGTTTATATATATGTAACTCGCTTTAAAAAAGATGTAACTTGGTTATAAAAAGATGTAACTTGCTTATAAAAAGATGTAACTCGCTCATAAAAAGATGTAACTCAATGTATTATCAAATGTAACTGAGGCCACTGATCCACTCCCAAACAGATTCGATCTTCTATTTCACAAACCTATCATCTCCCAAACAGATTCGATTTTCCTTATAATCCAATACTCATTAATATAATAGTTCGATAATTTATTAAAATTACATAAGCAATATTGGTCTCATTTGAAAGATCATGAAAAATAAAAAATGTTGATATAAATTTTATAAAAATCGGATCAAAAATAAAAAAGTTATTTTCATTTTTTAACAACAAAAGAAAAAAAAAAGAGTCAAGCTGCGTCGTTTTGCAACCGGACGCACCATCCTCATGGTGCGCCGGTTGCACCGTATAATCTGCGCCTAAGACAAATGAGTAAATCTTAAACACTAATCTAAACCTTACTCTTGTCAAGCTAAAAATCATGTCATACTTAAGGAATAAAATCTAGGTAGTGTTGTTTTTGAAGAATTCTAAGTTTAATTTTTATGAAGAGTAATTGTCTCCAGCCATACATTAAGAGGACGTGGGGGTTAAATTACCACTTAGAATGTTTTAAATTGGACTAAAATTCTTTTTGCTTGCTACTGGTTTTTATGATCTGATAAACGTTTGAGAGGCGTTTACTTCGCTGCTAAAGTGACAGTTAGGTTAGTAAGAGAGGTGAAGTAAACATGCAAGTTGCTTAAAAAACTGCTTATTAACCGAAAGAGGTGCTTAAAATGTCGTTTACTAAGCACACTACATCTCTATATATTAATTAAGCAGCACTTTAAGCTTTTTCAGTTTCCGAATTTACTCTTACTCTTACCCTATTATTACCCTCTACCCCACCCCGCACCTACCCCCTAACTCTACCTTGTCCCGACCCATCCTGACAACGACCTCACCCGACCCCACTCCCTTTTACCCGGGTTAGGGGTATGGGTACGCGTACGAGATGACCCCCACATATTATATCATATACTTGTGTTCATGTATGTTTCTCTGTCTATATATGTATAGGGTTATATTGGACATTTTAATGTTAAACGATGTTTTAAATCCTTTGAAGTAAACATGAGCTTACAATACTGCTTATTTTATGTGCCACTTGCCCACTTATTAACATGAGTCTTAATAAACACCGTTTAGTAATCGTCAAGTAAACATGTCATTGGTGTTTATTTTGCTATTGTCTAAATATGATATGATTTGATATATCGTCTGATTTTTAAAATTTGGTTTGATGGAGTTTGATATTTTGTGGGATTAAAAATCAGTCCAATTAATGAACACGCAAAGTTTGATCAGACCATGTGAGTCTCTGGTCTTCTAACATGTGAGAGGCACACAGGACACTAGAAATCTTTTTGTTTATTAAAGCAATGCATTCTCTTCCAACGCCCTCACAATATGAAAGATCTAATCAGATTGAGGCAATATTTTGTTGAAGTTATTTGAACTGAGCAACACGTTCCGTAAATCTTTTCATTTAATCCAAGATTTTGCAATCCATGGATGGAAAATAATCAAAATAATATGATACATCCGGTTGAATTATTTTACATTCGAGTGTTTTCATAATTTTGTTCAACTGCTCACTTCGAAATACAAATGTTTTTAAAGCATTATTATAATCCTTTTTTGCTTCCTTTGAATTCAATAATCATCATCATTACCTCAATGCCACAAAGGCTTCCCACCTACGTTGAAGCAAGAGGGTCGATGTACGCAATCTTACCCCTGTATTAAAGCACAGAGAGACTGTTTCCGGATGACCCATAGTGAAATTCGTGTCGAAAATTGCATTGATCGACTATTACTTCATAACACAGAAGCGCCGACAATTTAGTGAGTCATTTTTGTTGTATTCCATCATATTCCCAAGTCAAAAATAATGAATCTTTGGTTCACTTTGAATTCAATGTTATACAAAAATTCAAATAAAAAATGCTCATTTGATCTGAAATAAACTCACTTTAATAAAAAAAAGTGTATTATATTCCTTCAATCCTTCGTTTGAATGTATAATATACAGTTATCTTACTCATGTTCTTTCTCATAACAACCCAAAAATATTGCCAATCAAGAACAACATTGTTATATGTATTATTCCTCTCCTCTCCTTGTGGTTATTAAGATTCGGAAATTCATCCAAGTGTAAATATGAAACGGAATGTGTGGTAATGGCTCGTTGGAGCAAACCAGATTTTTATTCATTCTACAAAGGGTAATGGGGTAAATATGAAACAGAATGTGTGGTAATATACAAGAGAATTTGTCAAATTCTCCAAAATTAACATAAGCAATCCTAAATAGGAATATATATCAGTCTTCTTTTTGAATGCAATCATTAGTCTTCTTTGAATCCTTCTACCCCCAATCCATAAAAGAAGTTATTGTGAATCACATCAAATGCATAGGAATAACAACAAGAATCACATTATGGCTTATATGAAAAGAAAAGTTATCTCTGGACATGATTTAGGATTCTATGCTTCACAAATCCCACTGCATCTTCAAAGAAAATCCAAGCAATGAAAAGAAAAGGTAGTAATCAATAAAAGGTACACATGAGAAATGATCTAGCTAAAGACTCAATCCAGCTACCAGGATTCTGAAACTAGAAGCTTTAGGCCAGATGTAATGTCTCCTTTAATAGAATCCAGCATATTGCTTTTGTTTCTGTAAAAAGGAAAAATAAAACTTATGTTACATGCTAGTTTTTCCAACAAATGAACAATGATATGGTTTGAAAGAACATCCAACCTCACAAACAATCTTCCAATGTACGGGGTTCCACAAGAATATAGACTGATCTTCCTTTTAGCCTGCTTTGCCCTTTAACGTCGGGTAAGCCAATAACACAGCCGCATTCAACCACTTCAGCTCCCATTTTTTCTAAAATAAGTGATTCATTATTAAGACATTTTACATTGAAAAAATCAAAATGTTAATCCATCTGACATAAAGTCTGAGGTACTCTTCATATCAAGTGAATCTTTTAAAATGAAACTGAACAATGTAGAAAGATTAGAACTACCTAGCAATTTTATTGCAGCTGAAAGAGTGCCACCAGTAGCAACCAAATCATCAATGACGACAGCACGATCCCCCTTCTGCACTGCACCAACGTGCATCTCTAAACGATCTTGTCCATACTCCAGTTCATAAGACTCCGATATTCGTTCACCTGTGAATCCATCATCGCTATCAATCTAGCTATACAAATATTCTTCTAACTGCGGGATATAAACAGCCTAATATTTCAGTCGATATAAAATTTCAGGATAACAAGCCTAACAAGGTCATAGCATTGGCAGAGAAAAGGACGATTACTTGAATGTCTGAGTATACAATCACATGTTAATTTATCATCAGGTTTTTCTTATTATATTGCTAAAATAGAATTTATGAACAAACAATATGACAACACAGTAAGTATCGTAGCTGTGAAATCTCAACAGTGTCACTGCAATTTATAATTCAACATCAGCAAAGTCACTGTGAGAATACCAATATGGTCATCGCGCATCAAAAGTCATAATTTTTTCTATTGCTTTTGTTTGTGCATATTCTTGCCACTATTTCTTTATCATTATCTAGCAATTATCTTGCCATTTTTATTGATGTATATTATGTTTACTGTTAATTGTATGGAGAGCACAGCAAAGCACAATAAAACATCATGCTAAAAACAACAAAGAATTACTTCGAACTCTTACTACTTTATGCTTCACTATATCTGAGCAAAATAGGGACAACGTAGCGAACCTGGCAATTTTCCAGGCTTGCGTAAAGGAACAAACTTTGCACCAATAGCTAGGGCGATGGATGGACCAAACATGAATCCTCTTGCTTCGATTCCTAAAAGGTCAATAGAGAATCAAGAATGTGAACTTTCATTAGCAACTTCATCCAAAGATCAAATTTTGACATCTGAAATAAGAAATTGCTATTTCATCCTTCAATGGTTTCACTTTTTATCCCTTAATTGACTACTCCCTCCGTTTCTGAAACAAGTTCCCCATTTGACTTCACACATATTAAGAAAATAAATTTGACTTTACTGTGGAGTGCACTGTTTGGCACCGTTTGAACACTATTTGACACTGTTTGAACACTGTTTGGCACTGTTTGACACTGTTTTGATGTAGATAATTTGCCAAATAAGGAAATGTTTGAAAGTGGAACTTAATTTTGAATCTTCCCGAAAAGGAAAGGTGGAACTTGTTTCAGAAACGGATGAATTATTTTGTAAAACAGCTGAGGGATCAAATAAATAACAAAAAGGAACTCCACTTCATTAGGTGGGTGATTAGAGGAGTGCAAATAGTGTTCTCTCTAAAGTAGCTTTTACTATGGTAAAAGTTTTCTCTGATTAATGATAACACAATTATAGATTTAGTCTGAACGCAATCTGTAGAGCCAACAAAACTTGAAGCTAATCATTGGTCCCCCACTAGGGAAAATAATGCAAATGCATATCAATCTGTCAAATGAAAAAATATTCCACAGTGTAGCAAGAATCCAAAACATCCAATGGAGCACTATTAAATGATTAAACACTTGCAGAAAAAGACAATCAGGAAAAGATCATACAACTAATCCAAACAATATCTTTGCAGCCATTGAAGAAGCTGAAAACTATTTTGCTATTAATCAAATCTATGAAAATCTTAGCAATTTGGGAAATGCCTCAATTTGAAAATGACATTTTATTGAAAATCTTACCCTATGACTGTAAACAACAGTGAAAGGGGGAGGGGGAATCTAATTTAAAAAAGACCCAAGTGTGAGAGTTGGGGATTAAACTTACCAGCAACAACAGAGATATCCATGTCTTTGTATCTATCAACAAAAATGTCCACAGTGTCCTTAAAGACCTTATGATTCAACAACAAAGTCGTGATATCTTGGAACATTATACCTGCATGAAACCAAGAAAGTAAGCAACATTCGTTCAAATCAATTGAATCCTATCAAGAACACACCACCCAGAAAAAAAAAACGCAACACAAATCAAGAAATTAAAGAGATAAGAAAAGATGGAGATCAAAGGTGATACCTGGTTTTGGGAAGTCAGGAATTACTCTAATGGCTTCAAAAATGCCCTGAAGCCTTGGGTCTCCTTTCAGCCCATTCTCTGCTGCAAACATCTCTATATCTGCAATTTCTTGTGCGGTCTGTGATGTTTAGTGGTCTTTAATCTCGCTCTAAGAAAACAGTGTACTTTCTCCCTCTTCAATGTCTTCCGTGATGTTTATGGTTTATTGTGCACTGTGCAAGTTCCAACAGCTGGGCGGTTTCTTCTTTTTCCTTTTCTCTTCTCCCGAAGTGGGAGAGGGAAGTACTACTAATAAAAAGATCAAATCTTTGTGTTTTGGTATGGTGGGTGTGTCCAAAGAAAGTGGTTTTATATTGATTTTTGCCCTCTGTTCGCTACAACCAAACAGATGACCAGAGTGGTGACAAAGAAAAGTAAGTTGAGAAAGTAAATTCATGGAATAAAAAAGGTGAGGTTTTTTGCATCGAACCCCACACTGTGTGTGACATAATGGTGAATGAGTACGTAATAGATGTGATTTTAAGATTTCCTAGATACTGCGTATGATTTGGGCAGAGAGAAAATTCCATATATAGATCTAGATCCAAAGTCTAGAAAATGTATCACTACGCTGAGGGTTGAAAATCTAAGAGTAGAAAAGCTTGGTTAGTCCAAAAGGTGGAATCTTCCACCCCAGGAGCCCTCATACCCCGACCAGACAGGATTTTTGGGAGGAGGTTAATCACGGTGACTCAATCGGCCCAATGATGGTAGACCTTTTTCCCGTGCGCATCAGAGGCTCAGTCTTATTTCAGGTTCTGTGACCTCCACACGGTCGCTGCGGGTTTCGAACCTTGGTCACTTGGTCCAAATTTCCCACCACTGAACCAACTGAGCTACTCGTGCGGGTTAAGAGTAGAAAAGCTATGTGTATAGAAGTTGTACAAAACTTGTACAAAAAATATCGGTCACCGACAATTGGTGAGTTGCTTGTGAGCATAATCAACTCTTAGGCTTTGTACACAAAATTGCCCCAACTAAGTAAGCGCATCCACGGGTTATAAGGCCGTTTCAGGTAGAACCGCCACTGTTTGTCAAACATTTAGGTTCCCATTTTCCCAATAAGAAATAAACTCACAGACACGAACGTAGCCAAGAGTAATAGTTAGGTTGGACCGGCACAAGGAATTTTTACAAATAAATTTTTACACATAAATTTTTACATTAAAAATATACGGAATTTTAAAATTTGAGCTGGGTCAGGAGCCAGTTGGCCACCCCTCCACCTCCGCCCCTACTCACACACTATAACTTGAGGTGAGATAAAACATTAAGTGATTATTCAAATTAACCCCTGGTTTAGACTTTAGAGGATATCATTTGAGAAAATCTTCTCAAGTTTACAATTTTGATTACATGAACTCAATATCCCACAAGGAAAACTGAATTGTATGATAATCCATTTGAATTACTCTCAACCGTCAAAGAGAAAATCATATTAGGGCTTGTTTGATGTAAGGAGTTGATGTAAAATGGATATGTGGAGTGGAGCTGAGAGGATATTTTAGCTTTTTAGTAATTTGTGTTAGGAGGGGGATCCGCAATAACCTTTAAGGTTTTAATACTACGTATTTCTCTAAAGAATTGCCAAGTTGCATAATTGTCTTGGAAAATTCGTGAAAAAATGGGATTAGAGAGATTTTCCTAAATAAGACTAAAAGAATGTATAATTGCAAAAACAGGGCTAAAAAGAGCTAAACTGACGAAAATACCCCTAATGAAAAAACTAAGCACACCAAGTCTCTGCTGCGCAGGTTTCCCCTTCCACTTGTTGCGCAGGTGTGTCGTATGTGCAGGTTTGGAGTCGACGCCTCCACCATTGGCACCTCTGCCACCACCCATGAAGTCTGCCACCACCGCCACCACTCATCTAGTACGCTGCCATCACTCTCCAACAAAGATTTGCCCTCCAGTGAGTCAGTGCAGACCTTCATGAGGAATGACACTTCATATGCGAGAATGCCACTTAATATGCATAATGACACAATAATGACAATTTCATATAGAGAAATGGCATTCTCAATGTGACATTTTCAAATACCGTAATGACATAAAAGTGACATTTTTTAAAAATACCCAATAATAATGACATTCTACTATTCAAAAGTGGCATTTTCTGGAATCATTAGTCAGGGCATTTTGAGATTCAAATTAATCAAAATTGATAACAAGAAATTCAAGTTCAGATATATCTTCATTTGGAACTTTCAAAATTCAAAATTTTATTTAAAATTTGATTGATAAAAAACAAAAAAAAAAAAGCAGAGAACTAGGATGAAGAAGAAGAAGAAGAAGAAGAAGAAGAAGAAGAAGAAGAAGAGGAAGAAGAAGAGTACATACCTGTCTTGTCTATTGCAGCAGAGGTCGTCGACGGCGGAGCTATGGTGTTGTGAGGCTACGATCGATGGCGGAGTGTGGCCATGGTGGAGTAAAGAATCGCGGAAGATGAATTGCTTAGAGGAAGATGAAATTGGCGATCGATTGCAGAAGGAGAGGGTTAGGTTAATGAGGGGTAAAAATATAATCTTTAGTCCCAACCTCGTATGAAAAGACTAAAATGCCCCTCGATCAGGATTATGTTGAAGGCCAACAAAATTGTTAATTGAGGGGCATTTTAGTCTTTTCATACGGGGTCGGGGTGCAAACACTAAAGATTTCAAAAACGGGGTGCAAAGTCTAATTTCGACAATAAAATAGGGTGCAAACTCAAAATACCTCTTAGGCAATTTAAAACTTGAAGTCCTATTTTAGAGTTTTAACCATGTTTTGGGATGTTTTTACTTGGACTGTAATTCGTCCCAGACCAGACCAGATCAGACCAGGCCAGACCAGACCAAACCAGTTCAGACCAGACCAGACCAGACTTAGATAGTTATAAAAATACAAAGAAACCAGACCAGACCAGATCAGACCAGACCAGCAAATTACAGTCCAAGTAAAAACATCCTTAGTCCCATTTAATATAATTTCTTATAAGATTATTATTATGTTATTTTCAAATATGACTCATTTAATCCTATTTTGAGAATTGGAAGTTCTAGTCCAACTTATTCATTTAATAGTACTAAATAAGTCTTATTATAAGAAAAAACATACATAATCTTTTTTAACTTAATGTATATTATGGTCCTACCTATATTATAAACAATTTATATAAGTGTTTAGCAGACATGAAATGAAAGGTCGTTCTAAAACCATGCAAATAGTATAACCAAGGTCACTTTGAAAAGTACCAAGAGTCTAATCTGCATCGGTCTTCCTCTTGGTAACTTGCCTTGCTCCGTATTTGATTAACACCCGCATGAGCAGCTCCATGAGGATTGAATGAGCTAATTGGATTGAAATCTTGAGTTCGATTCTTGACAACAACATTGTTGAAGTTTTTCCAATGTGATGATTCATTGTGCATACTAGACTATGAATCACCTAATTCGTAAATTGTTTGAGACTACATTTTAGATTTACTGTCGAGTTGACTGTGAGGGCGTCTGAGGTGGGTGATTCAACATTATTTTATAAATTGATATTAGGTCTGTTTTGTTTACTACCTTTGTCTCGGTGGAATTTGTCAAGTGCAAAGTATGTGGGAAATAATAATCGTAGAAATCGTGTGTTTGAGATTTGTGCAGAGGAGATAGAAATGTGTAGAACCACAAATTAATTACTTTAATATGATGGTGACAAAGTTTTTTGAGACAACCAAAACGGGAAAGTCGGCAAAGTCCAATGGAACGAAAGGAGTATTAGAAAACAAGGTGCTGAGAAACGTTTCTTAATTTTAATGCGTTTGTCATAGCCCCCAATATGATAAATCCATTTTTTTGTTATCACCAACTAGCCTTCTTTCATATAAGTTTTAGGATCATTACATCAATCAAAGAAAAAACAAAACTGACACCAACTAAAATCCAACAACTACGACTGTAAACCCTATGATCAGACTTAGAGACGGTCACCTCTGAAAGAGCAACGCGAATCGCTAACCATGTAACGAGCTTGACACAACCAACTCTTTTCTCAGAGATCCAAATATACTCAATGACATAAAAAAGGCTGAATTTCCAAACAAAATGACAAACCTAATGTTTTACATATGTTTTGTGCGTGTGGAAACAAACGTAGCATCAGCTATAAATTACTAATTTTCCTCCGGGTCAAACTCAAATTTACCAAGGACAAATTTAAATTTTAGTAACATGAAACTACCGTAAATCTTGACCAATACTTCTCCTTATGTTTTACAGTATATTTTACAAGTTCATTTGTTGACTAAACCCCCAAGTTGGATATGTAACTTTGTATGACTATTTTGTTTATTTCTCCACATATCACATGAAAAAATGTCTTAGTGTGACTTATTCTTGGTGTGACTATGTAACGAGTGAATTAAAGTGTTTCTAAGTTCTAAGACTGTATGTAAGTGCTCTAAATTACTTTTAAAAGCAATTTGTTTGTTTAATTTTAAGAAGAAAAACTATAAACCATGTCTTCTTACCCAAAGTGATTATATTATGAGTAATAATTTTTAGTGATTTTATCATCTCCCTCAATTTTATTTTTAAATTGAGGAAGCAAAAACATGTAATGAAATATTTGAGTCATGAGTGAATTCAAAAGTGTTTCTAATTAAGTGCTCTAAATTATTTCTAGGGTATGCTCGACACAACTAGCTGAAAAGATTCTTTTATAAGATTTTTAGTAACTGTTAGCTTTTAGTGACTGAAAAGATCTTAAAAGAAAAATATGATAGTTGTTTGGTAAAAAGCTGACTGTTAAATTTAGTTCTGTTTGGTATACAAGCTGTTAAGACTAATTAATACTAAAAGCTACAGACCTTTCTCGGATGCTACTACTTGTAGCATCTCAAAAAAGATCTTTTATTTTTTGAAAAGCTGTTAAAATTTGTCATGCCAAACATATAACTATAAGCTTTTAGAGACTTTTTAAATAGTACAAAAGCTATAAGACGGAGATTTATGCCCGCCAAACATGCACCTAGAAGCGATTTTGAAAAAGCTGATTGACCAGCTTCTAAAAAACAGTTTTTAAATGTATTTCTATTTTAAAAAAAAAAAGAAGCATAAGCAAATTAATTCCAAACAGCTTTCATAAATTAAATACAAAAAGCTAGCCAAAGGCCAAATAGCTTCATATATCCCGTAGCTATTTACCCCCCGTCCCGCAAAATAGTTCTCGGTTTTCTTTTTGGGTCATCCCAAAAAATAGTTCTCATTTCCTTTTTTGGAAAGTTTGTGTGGCTACCTTTCATTTATTTTTTCTTACTCAACCACAATCATACATTTCCACTTTATTCTCACTTTTTTAAACTCCGATCCAAATCGTAGTGAGAACTATTTTATGGAACGGAGAGAGTAAAACTTTTATCGTAATAAACAGTGTAGAAAAGCTGGTTGTGGCAGATACACAGATCAAAACTAGTAACAAACAAAATAAATGGTTCAAGGTATATTTCTAAAAGAGGGTTCCCTAA